CCCATGTCGGTTGTGGGGACCTCCAAGTGTACCTGCAGGAAGCTGCATCTAAACAAGAATAACCCAGTTATGAACTGTACTCTGATGCAGGGTGCAGATGTCTCAAATGGCAGCTTAACCCACTGTGCCAACCTACCCACGCCGGGAAGATTCTCAAACACGCTCCACCCTGCATTCCGTGCAGTCTCTCTCCTGAAAGCTGGCTGCTGCCCAGGTCCCCAAGGTCCACGCAGACTGAGAGTGACGAATGGGGTGGAAACACGCCCTTGGGACTCCTCGGAGACATCCCTGCAGGCCAAATTTTCAAAACATCTGAAATTAATTAGGAGTCCAATTTAGACGGTAGCGACTACTTGGGGAATTTTCTTAAAGAATGAAGCCTCTGGTGCTGAAATCCCTTGGCTTTCCGAATTAAATTTCTTCTCCAAATTCACTGTGATCAGTTCACTGAATGGCTCACGCCTGATAACCAATAAGAAATGCTCCAGTTCCTCCTGCTTTCCAAAATTCTTCAAAGAACAAGAGAACATGCGTGGAGGCGGGAAACTTCCGGATTAGGTGGATTTCTGCTTTGCACCCATGGCACCCACTTGGACAGCAAGTGAAGGTGAGTTGGAGGGGAGGGGTGGAGGGATCAGTGCAAGAATGGAAGACCCCCAGTACACTCAGTGTGTAAGCTGGCGTTGGCTACTCGGGGGGAATCCAAGAAGCCCAAGTGCCAATGGGCTGGTTTTTTTTTTTTTTTTAAGAGTTTATTTATTTTTGTTGGAAAGATATATTTAAAGAGAAAATGAGAAAAAGAAGAAAGAAGCCTTCCATCTGCTGGTTTACTCCCCAAATGGCTGCAACAACCAGAGCTGAGTCAATCCAAAGCCAGGAGCCAGGGGCTTCTCTTGGTTCTCCCACGCGCGTACAGGGTCCCAAGGCTTCAGGCCGTCCTTGACTGCTCTCCCAGGCCACAGGCAGGGAGCTGGATGGGAAGTGGAGCAGCTGGGACATGAACCTGTACCTATAAGGGATGCTGGCTCTACAGGAGGATTAATTGATTGCATCATCATACTGGCCCCAAAGCCTTCTGTTTCTACCACAGTTTCTCCAACCCTTGAGTTTTCAAGAGCAAGTTTCGCTTCAGCAGAGTAACTTAGACATAAACACATGCACCAGGGTCACATGCGTGCAGATGCCCAACAAAATCCTCTCCACAGTCAGTTACAAACGGAGGGTTAAGGGTCCAGCTCCAAGGCTCGGTTCACTCATACTCCCTCTGCAAGCGCCAGCATCCCACATTGGCATAGTTCATATCCCAGCTGTTCCCTTTCCTATCCAGCTCCCTGCTTCCAGTCTGGGAAAGCACTAGAGGATGACTCAAAGCCTTGGGACCCACATGGATGACCCAGAAGATGCTCCTGGCTCCTGGCTTCAGATTGGCTCAGCTCTGGCTATTGTGGCCATTTGGGGGTTAAACCAGTGGATGGAAGATCTTTCTGTCTCTTCTCTCTGTAAAAATCTGCCTTTTCAATAAAAATCAATAAATCTTTTTACAATAAAAGAAGAGAAGTTTCAGATGAATCATACACATGTGGCTTGGTCCATCTGGAATGTGAACAATGACAGTGCAAAGATGGGGGATTTTAGAGATAGTATGACTTTAAAATTAATACTGGAAAATTAGTCAAATGACAACAGAGCCTGATTCCATTCTACCTGATGAAACAATGTTTATGTTAACGCTGCGATCTGTTTATCTGCCCTCTCGGGTGTGGTTACAGTTACGACAATGTTAGAAGAAGCCCTCACATTTACAGTGGGCACCTCATTCTGCCTTCATAAGCACCCCCTTGCAGTCACAGCGCTGCACTTTGGGTGGAATAATTCTGCACAGAGCTGCTCATTCTCTAAGCCAACACCTGCTGCTATGGGCCACGATGACCCAAATGGACAGGAGGCAGGAAGGGCAGGCAGGCTGCTGGGCAGTGAGGAGGACAACACAGTGCTTGGCCACCTGAAACATGATGGAAATCGACATATTCCCTTTAAAATATATAGATATATTTTTATTGGAAAGCCAGATTTACAAAGAGGAGACACAAATATATGTAGAAAGATCTCCCATCTACTGACTCACTCCCCAAATGACCACAACAGCCAAAGCAGAGCCAATCCAAACACAGGAGCCAGGAGCTTCTTCCCCACCCCCTACACATGGGTGCAGGGGTCCAAGGACTTGAAATGTCTTCTGCTGCTTTCGCAAGCCATAGCAAGGAACTGGATTGGATATGCAGCAGCTGGAACTAGAACCAACACCCATGTGAGATGCCAACTCTGTAGGCATAAGATCAGCCTAATAAGCCACGGTGCCGGCCCCGTATTAGCCTTCTTTTACTCTAGGGAATTTTTGCCTTTCTTTCCTCTGTAGGCAAAAGCAACTTCTCATTGGCTGCAGCATCAACCTAAGGAAACAATGAACCCTCGGTTCCCTAGGCGGATAATGGTTGCACTTAAGACAAGCTCTCCTATCTAGTTTGCAACATCTCTACGTGTTGTTTTGAAAGTCAACTAAGGTTTCCTGAACCAGGTATGCTTCGACCATTAGCCACGCAGTAGCCTCGTGGCCATTTCAACAGTCTGCATTGACACAGGCTCACAAGTAATGTTCTTGGTGTGCAAACAATAGTAAAGGGTGGGCAAGAAACTGGATCTTGGAGAAGCACCTGCGACATGGTGCCCAGGAATGGAATGCGATAACCCCACGTTGGGCTGCTCCAAAGCCACGCTAAGTGACTTCACACTGTTCTTTTTCTCACATGCCTTGATGTGTTTCTCACTAGAGAACTTTCAATAGCCAATGGCGTTTTTATGCTTTTAAATTTTCATTACTTAAACAAAGAGCAAACACAACTTTGAAGTCCCTTAATGTTCTACTACCCTGAAAGCATGTTCTGCCTTTTCAGATAAGACGATTTTATTCAATTATGATCAAACTCCTTCGTCTCTCTGATAAGTGAGTCCGCACCAGGGAAGGGAAGGGAGAGCCAAAAGAATTAATGCGATGGGACTGTCCTACTGAAGGTGATTTGGCAAACTTCCTTCTCTACCAAAATTACGCAGCCATTGAACTCAAGTCACCTTCGTTTGTTCACTTATTCAAATTCTACAAACATTTACTGATGGCTCGCTCATACTCTATGCTGAACCCTGAACAGTAGATGTCTTAGGATAAATGACAATCCTCGCCCTCAGAGATGGCACACGAACAAGGACAACAGTGATGTGGCAATGGGTGCTGCTGCTGCTGTGACAGGGGCTTGCTCTGCCCAGTGCAGGGGAGAAATAAGATTTCTGTCCTTGGCAAACAAAAGTTGAGAATTTTAGAGTAGGAAAATATTGGCATGATTGATTTGCTGATATATTGGTTAGTGGTATTGTTTTTATTTTTATTCAAAAGACAGAAAGAAAGAGCAGGAAAGCTCTCCTCTATGGGGACACTGTCCAAATGCCTGCGTTAGCCAGGGCTGGACCAGGCTGAAGCCTGGAGGGAGGACTCAATGGATAACCCTGTGTCGGTGTTACTAGTTCATAGAGGCTTCCATAGCTGGCAAAGTCCTTCATAAGCTTGAGCCCAGACCTGGTTAGAAATACGCAGATATACAGAGAGGAGGAGAGACAGAAAGAGCTAAAGTCCTCACCTGGAATGTGCCGGGATCCCATATGAGTGCCAGTTCTAATCCCGGCAGATCCACTTCCCATCCAGCTCCCTGCTTGTGGCCTGGGAAAGCAGTCAAGGATGATCCAAAGCCTCGGGACCCTGGACCTGCATGGGAGACCTGGAGGAGGTTCCTGGCTTCTGGCTTCGAATTGTTGCAGCACCAACCATTGCAGTCACTTAGGGAGTGAATCATCAAACAGAAGATCTTTCTGTCTCTCCTCCTCTCTGTATATCTGACTTTGCAATACAAGTAAACTAATTAAAAATAAAGAAACACACAGTATTAGTACACCATGTTTAATGTTTGTCTTAAAGCTCTCACATTGCCTGTATCCCGGCAACTTTTGGAGCCAAACCATTCCTATTGTACAAGAGCACCACAATCTCCTCTTCTTGGTACATGCTCCCTCTTGAGGTTATCAACAAACTCCCAGGCACCTAGAATTGAAAACAAGAAATCCTCATGTGGATATTGATTATATCACATTTGGACTTTTTCAAAGTTTGCCAACTGGTCTACTGGCTTATGTCTCTGCTATAATCCATTCTTCAGCTCTGATCAAAGAAACTGTCACAAGACAGGCTCCCATGATGTCACTCAAAGTAGAACATGCCATAACTTCCTTTTACTGATTTGAAAGGCAGAGAAGGGAGAGACAGAGATCTCTCAACTGCTGATTTATTTATTTATGTTTAATATTTATTTTTTTAGAAAGTCAAATATACAGAAAGGAGGAGAGACAGAGAGGAAGATCCTCCATCTGCTGATGTACTCCCTAAGTGGCCACAATGGCCGGAGCTGAGCCAATCCAAAGCCAGGAGCCAGGAGCTTCCTCCGGGTCTCCCATGAGGGTTTGCAGGGTCCCAAGTCCCTGGGATGTCCTTGACTGCTCTCCCAGGCCACAAGCAGGAAACTGGTACCCGCTTGGGATCCTGTACTTGTAAGGTGAGGATTTTAGCCATGCAGTCGTCATGCCAGGCCCTGCATCCCACATATTGATGCATAACCATCCAAGGCCTTAGGTACTGCTTTTATCCTCTGTCCATTTCTTCCTTTTGTTTGTTTGTTTGTTTGTTTGTTTGTTTGTTTTAAAGAAGATCTACAGAGAGAGGGAGAGACAGAGAGAAGGATCTGCTGGTGCACTCCGCATATGGCTGCAACAGTCAGAGCTGAGCCAATTCAAAGCCAGAAGCCAGGATCTTCTTCCAGGTCTCCCACATGGGCACAGGGTCCCAAAGCTTTGGGCCATCCTCTGCTGCCTTCCCAGGCCACAGGAAAGGAGCTGGAAGGGAAGTGGAGCAACCACTGGTATTCCAGCATATACAAGGTGAGGATTTTAGCCACTAGGCTACTGTGCCAAGCCCCTTTTTTCCCTTTCCTGCGCACTTTTTCTAGCATAATTCTTCTCAAAGCTGTGGTTCTCTGTTTTAACAAAGAAAGGTATCTATCAAAAGAGAAATACAAAGTGCAATGGAAGATTTAGAAGATCTGTTTGGGTGCCCTGATCGAGAGGGGGAACTCCACAAAAATCTTCATGGCAGGGATAGAACTTGACGTTAACCGTGGGGATGGTAATATTTGGGGATCACGGTAAGAGAAAGGCCGTTAGTAGTGTTGGAATTGGCAGATGAGAATGAGCTGGGAGTTGTCAGAGAATTTTGCTGGTTCCTGTGACCAAGAAACAAAGTAAATGAAAAGAGAGATAAAGACTTAAAGGCAAACAGGGATTTGGCCATGGCAAACCTGATTTCTGACAGACAATGGATGACCTAACAGCGCAAATTTTCCTTTTGAAATGATCAAAATACCATCCGTGCCTCCTACTTTGGCATTCCCTCTTTCTTTGAAGTCTATAAAACACAGAAACTTCAACAAGTTTATAAAAACGTATGTAATTTTTAAAATTCCATTTTTGCGTCAACTTGGTGAGGTGCATTTGGATATGCTAGGCTGGTGTCTACACTGCGTCAGCTGAAGTGTGTCTCACGACTCTTGACGCTCATCCATGTCTAACCTGGGCTGCGGTGGGGACAGCTCCGGATTTGCCATCATGAAAGGACTGCAAGCACAGGTCCCGTTACGTTCCTCGGTACAGTGTCACTGTCAGCTGTGTCTCTCTCTGCTGGAAACGGCTACAAAATCTCTCCCAGATGCCAAGACTTTTCCATGCCTTCCCAGATTCCTCCACAGACGTGTGCTTCTGCGGCCTCTGTGGACATCGCTGGGCTTCCCTGCACAGGAAGCGCTGTGTAGCTGCTCCTTGCCTCTAGCTCCGCCCATTTTCTCCACCTTCCTTCTGCTCCTTTCCCTTGCTGTATTCGTTATATACCTCTCGCCATCCACATCGCAACATCTGCGCATATCACTCTGTCTCCTTCCCATCTTTCATTTGTTGGTTCACTCTCCAAATGGTCACAACTCCTGGGACTGGATCAGGTCTTCCATGAGTGGCAGGGCCCAGACACGCGGGTCATCTTCCCTTGCTTTTCCCAGGCAATTAGCAGGGACCTGGCTGGGAAGTGGAGCAGCTGGGACAGGAAGGAGTTCTCCTATGGAATGGTAGTGCCATAGGTGCTAGCTTTACCTGCAAACAGCAGCACCAACACATAACAATGTCTTAACCAATACCTGTGAACACAGAGTCTGTCTTGCACACAGAGAAATGACAAGGATTTTCATTCTGTGTCAGTTGCTCATGTAGCTCATCAATACTCCAAAAATAGATATTGCTAAGGCTTGTTATTTAAAGCATTGATGCTTAAAGACACATATCACAACTCCTTTTTTTATTATTATTTTGGCAACTGTATTTCAATAGTTATTTTCATATATGCATACACACACACACACACAGAGGTTTGCATTTAAGAATAGAATTCTAAGAAGTCTGAAGACATCACTGCCTCAAGCCAGAGGCAGGGTCCAGGACCCCTGAGGCATTTCAAATGCCAACCCTTGGTAAATATCCCAGACCTGGAGACTCACTCTAGCAGATCCCCAGAACAGCATCATTCTCCTGAGAAAACCAACTAAGATCTCAAAATCCGAATTCTGTCATCTCCAGGGGCCACAGCATTGGATCAGTGTCCTGTGCTACCACTCTGTCCCTACGTCCTTACCGTAAATCTCTTACAAACACTAAATAAGGGCCCAGTACTGTGGCTCAACTGCCTAATCCTCTACCCGCAAGCATAAGCATCCCACATGGGTGCTGGTTCATGTCCCAGCTACTCTACTTCCTACTCAGCTCCATGCTTATGGCCTGGGAAAGCAGTAGAGGATGGCCCATGTGGGAAACCCGGAGAAGGCTCCTGGCTCCTGGCTTCAAATCAGCTCTGCTCCGGCTGTTGGAGCCATTTAGGGAATAAATCAACAGATGGAAGATCTCTTTCTCCATCTCTCATTTTCTGTGTAAATCTGCCTTTCCAACAAAAATAAGGAAGTCTTTGCAAAACAAAAAAAGGGAAAGAAAAGAAAATGCTTATGTTGAAATATCTGGGGCCCAAAGTGCTTCACAGTTTTTATTTTTTCAGATTTGGAATACCCGTTTGCACAGAGTAACATATCTACCGAATGGGACCCAACTTTGAACACAAAATTCACTAATATTTTATATAAGCTCTGTACATGTCACGTAAAAGTAATCTTAAAAAAAAAAAAAAACCTTATTTCCTTTTATTGGAAAGGCAGATATGCAGAGAGGAGAGACAGAGAGGAAGATTCATCCGATAGTTCAGTCCCCAAGCAGCCTCAACGGCTGGAGCTGAGCCAATCAGAAGCCAAGAACAAGGAGCTTCTTCCGGGTCTCCCACGCCGGTGCAGGGTCCCAAGGCTTTGGGCCGTCCTCGACTGCTTTCCCGGGCCACAGGCAGGGAGCTGGATGGGTAGTGGAGCTGCCAGGATTAGAACTGGCGATCATATGGGATCCCGGCACATTCCAGGCAAGGACTTTAGCTGCTTCACTAACGCGCCAGGCCCTCCTAAAAGTAATCTTATACAATGTTTTTGATTATTTTGTGCATGACATGAAGTTTCATAGTATAGAAATTTCTACTGTGGTGTCATATTATCGCTAAACATGTAAGATTTTGGCTCACTCACTCAAGCTTCATCTTGGATTTTCAGTTTAAGGACACTCAAGCTGTGTAACAGCAACTTTGTAACTTCCCTCTCAACCTGTATTTTTCAAAAAAAATTTAATAGGCTTTTTTTTTAAGAGCAGATTAGTAGAAGGTATAGACATTGCTCTCAATTCCTCTCTGTCTTCAAATCCCTAGCATGGCATTCTTCTGCAGGACAGTGTCATGGCACTGAGGCTGTGACACTGCCCGGGACACCTGTGCTCCACACCGAGTGCCTGGATTTGAGTTGTAGCTCCTGCTAAGGGATTCGATTCTAACTTCCTGCCAGGGTCCACACTGGGGGCAGCAAGTGATGGCTCATTAGGTTGGATCCCTGCTACCCCCACAGGGTGGGGTCCTTATCTTCAACCCTACACTGCCCCCAACACTCCCACCACTGGCTGTTGTGGGAAATTGAAGAGCAAACCACGAGATGGAAGATCTTGCAAACAAATTTTTAAGAAAATGTATAAAGTCCTTTGCGAATGAGTAATACTGAGAAATTCTGTTCAATTCCACCAATGTGCATTAAGGAACTTTTTGTATGTGAGGACGCTTACTGGCTGCGAAAGTGATAAAACAGGTGGGTCTGGCCCCTTGCCCTGCATAGCTCATGGCTGGGCTGGAAGGACAGGTAAACAAAGGATTCTGATAACTTGTAGGAAGTGCTAAGCATCAGGATTTGCAAAGTGTTGGCAGACTGCAGGATCAGCTGGCCAGGGAGGGAGTGACTGGTGGGCGTCACATGATGGTGGTATTTGAGCTATCTCAAAGGACAAGCAGTGATGTGGCCAATAACAAGAAGCAAAGCACAAGTTAGACACTCACCAGCAAGAAGAGCTTGGCTGGAATGTCGGGGCACAAGCTGGGGAGACGAGAGAGGTAAAACTAAGAAGGTCACAGAACACCTAGGCCAGGTCAGGGGGTGTGGAAGGCGACCCCCCTGAGCATCCAGGACAGCAGCCACTTCAGTCCCTGAGAGACAGTGGACAGCACACCCTCCTGCACTTGACTTCTACATGACAGTTGGGAAAAGATGTTGGGAAACCTTACCAGCCAGGCTGAGATGCTGAGTCTTGGTTTCGTTTTTATATCTTCCATTTTATACCAGGGAGTGTTCAAATTGTTCCTGCAAAATGCATATCATCAAAAAGTATCCATGGATTTCAATTTTTTGCTGTACCTACTCAACTTTTTAAAAAACATATTTATTTGAGGAGCCTGGCATGGTAGCCTAGTGGCCACAGTCCTTGCCTTAAGGATGCCATATGGACCCCGGTTTGTATCCCGGCAGCTCCACGTCCCATCCAGATCCCTGCTTGTGGTCTGGGAAAGCAGTCGAGGACAGCCCAAAGCCTTGGGACCCTGCACCCATTTGGGAGACCCAGAAGATGTTCCTGGCTCCTGGTTTTGGATAGGGTCAACTCCTGCCTTTGTGGCCACTAGGGGAGTGAGCCAGCACATGGAAGGTCTGACCTTTCTTTCAGTCTCTCCTTCTCTCTGTAAATTTTCCTTTCCAATAAAAACAAATAAATTTGTGTATATATATGTATAACTTGTATATATATATAATTTGTATATATATATATGCCATATTTTACAGAGAGAGAAGGAGAGACAGAAAGAGGTGTTGTCCATCTTCTGGTTCACTCCGCACAAGGCCACAACAGCTGGAGCTGAGCTGATCTGAAGCCAGGAGCTACTTCCTGGTTTCCCACGTGAGTACAGGTAGGCCCAAGACTTTGGCCACGCTTTCCCGCTTTCCCAGAGCCAATACCATCGGCTCTAGAAAAGCATCTTGCAACTTGCTTTGAACATTCTACCTAACTGTGTTGGGAGCACTGGTCATTGATAAGGTTAGAAATGCCATATCCAGGGACCAGTGCTGTGGAATAGCCGGTAAAGCTGCCTTCTGCAACAGTTTCATCCCATATGGGTACCAGTTCAGGTCCTGGCTGCTCCACTTCCCATTCAGCTCGCTGTTTATGAACTGGGAAAGCAGCAGAGGACAGCCCAAGTCCTTGGGCCTGTGCACCCAAGTGGGATACCTTGAAGAAACTCCTGGATCCTGGCTTCGGATCAGCTCATCTCTGGCTGTTGCAGCCACTGGGGAGTGAACCAGCAGATGAAAGATGTTTCTCTCTCATTCTTTCTGCAGACTTGCCTTTCAGATACACAATAAATCTAAAAAAAGAAAAGTATATATAACATCATCGTGAAGACTTGAGGCTATTTTACAGATTTTAATTATTTTTATAAATAAATGAAAATAGCCTCAAGGCTTTGGGCCATCTCCCACTGCTTTCCCAGGCCATAAGCAGGGAGCTGGATGGGAAGCGGAGCAGCCAGGATACAAACCGGTGCCCATATGGGATCCTGGGACTTACAAAGTGAGGAATTAGCCATTGAGGCACAGTTTCAGGCCCAAGAACCTGAAAATTTAAGAACATTCTGGGCCATCCCTCTTAGAAAAAGCTACGGAATATAGATAAAATTAAAAAAGGAAAAGAAATATTTAAAAATGTAAATAAGATTTATTTATCAGAAAGACAGATTCATGGAAAGGAAGAGACAGAAAGATCTTCCATCTACTGATTCACTTCCCAAACGACCACAGTGGATGGAGCTGTGCCTATCTGAAGCCAGAAGTCAGAGGTTCTTGTGGCTCTCCCGCGAGAGTGCAGGGTCCCGAGGCTTTGAACCACCCTCTGCTGTTTCCCAGGCCACAAGCCAGGAGGTAGAAGGGAAGTGGAGCAGTCAAGACATGAACTGTTAGTTTTTTTAAACTGTTAAAGTTCTAGTTTTTACGTTAGTATGGGCAGCTAATTCCCACAACCTGGTTCTTTTACCATGAGCTGAAAACACCAGACGCAACGAGGCACTTTAGGAGGTTTATTCCAGTGGGCAGGAACAGGACAGAGGTGGTGGGAAGAGCAGCAAGGAAAAAACATGGAGACATCTCCAGCAGGGCAGGAACAGGACTGAGGTGGTGGAAGGGCAGATATAGGCGCCTGGGGCTCATGATGTTCAGGTGAGCCCGCAAGGTGTGTGTGTGTGTGGGGGGGGTGGGATTGGGAGGGACTGAGGGCAGGTCCCAGCGGATTGGTGCCTGCGAGCGGATCGGGCTGGGAGATAGGGGTGAGATTCTCAGGTGAAATGAAAGATTGTCTAATTGATGAACAGGTGGACCAGTACTAATTTCATGAGCTGTGAGGAAGAGAAAATGGCACCGGGTTCAGGGTGGCAGGGTCTGTGTCTCCATGACAGCCTTCAAATCACTCCTCACATGAACCATTGTCCACATGGGATGCTAGCACTTGCAGGTGGAAGATTAGTCCATTGAGCTATCTACCAGCACTCCCTTTAAAAAAAAAAAATTTCTCATGTATTTATTTATGAGCCAGAGAAAGTCAGACAGACAGACCTCCTGTTCCCTGAGTCACTGCCCAAATTCCCTCAATGCCTGGATTGGACTGGGCTGAAACTGGGAGTCAAAAACCTCACTCCAGGTCTCCCCTCTGGGTGGAAGAGAACTCACACAGCTGAGTCACCACCACTGCACCTCTTGGACCCTCAGGAAGCTGGATTCAGGAGCCGAAGCCAAAAATCCAAGCCCGGGATCTTCCATGCAACATGAATGTCTTCATCACTAGGAGGTGCCTAGCCCTAGACAAAGTGGTCAGATACCAGTGGTACATCTGGTTTTTTAAGAAATGCATTTTCACTGTTTTACTTTTTATCCCTGGTAGAATTATTACTGGTAATGTCTTGGGTTTCTACTAGATAAAAAAATAACAACAACAACAACAACCTTTTGTTATTTTGTTTTTCCAAAATCAATTAGCTTTTAAGTTCAACTAGTCTTGTGAAAACATTGGCACTCACTTGACCCAAAAGTTTTCTTCCAGTTATAAACTAAGACAAAGACAAAAGCAGATGAATGTAAAACATCTTGAATATTTTACCAAGATCGCTCACTTCTAAAGAGCAAAGGGCCTAAGAGTGGCCACTGAGATTCGAACTGGGAACCCACAGTAGCGTGTTCTCCCTTACTTTTGTTTCTCAACATTGTAAAGTGATCCGTCATTCTATTCTTGTCCATGTCTGCCCTGGCCTGTGACCGTGGAAGTGCCGGCCACAGTGTGGGAGGGAAGGTGACACCGTACAGTCGGACTGCTAAGTCCATGCCAGCTGTAAAAAGCGAAATGCGCAAGCCACGGCAGCCTTTTTGAGAAGGCATCGATGCCAGGCACTGCAAGAAGGAAATGTGCTTCGGCAGGTTCTGTTATTCTTTAACTTGACCCTGACAGTACCTGCTGAGCTGCCTGTGCGTTCTGCCAAAGAAGTGTCAGATGAGGGAGGAAGTTTGCACACCTGGTGAATTCAACCTCACAATACCATTTGGGAGGGACGCAGGAGAGGGAGAAGGGCAGCTACAGCAAAGCAGAGAGCCAAGAAATAGAAACGGGGGAGGAGGAAGGGTAAAGAAACAAACAATTTGGAGGAATTCTTCATGCCATTTTCCAAGATCACATTACATCATCGGACAGTGATAATTAAGCATTGCAGTGGCCCCGGGTGTGAGAACGCAGCTCTCAGGCATCGGGTTTTTGTACCTGGGACTCACTCAATAGGAAACTCGGCATCGGCACGGCGTCTGTCTCATAGCCTGATGACCTATTTGGCTGGGCCGCTGCTCTGCCTGAGTTTCCAGCCGCATGTAATTAAACATTAAGTGGTCTCTTAATGGACTGTTTTTTTCCAAGAGGGCCTTTCACTTACAATCAGAGTGTCTGTCGAAAACACTAAAGTAATTGCTTTTGCCCATTGCAGCGACACTCTGGCCATTCCTTTAACAGCCTTGTTTTTTTAGGAGTTGGTTTGATCGAGGCAATTGGAGAGGGTGAGGGCGGGGGGTTGGCGGGGTGAGGTTCAAAGACATTCAAGCTAGAGCCAAGCTTCATTAGCAGCAACTGTCACATAACGGGGCTGGGACACAGGACACCATATGGAGCTTCTGCGACCCCAGGGGCCAAGACCTATGGAAGTTCTACCACCTCCCACACCCGCCAGGCCACCCAGACGGGGTCCAGGAGACCCAGGTAAGGTGTATCCCAAACTGTATCTCTCCAGTGCCGAGTTCACAGTGCTGAATTCTAGTCCGAGATGTGCTTTCATTAGAACACGGAGCATCTTGAAGCTCTGCTGTCACATCCATGCACTTTAACCCATTACTGCCTTTCCCTCTGATACAGATGTGCTCGATTCCCAGTCACTCATGCCTTAAAAGCATCTGTGGACTCCACGGAAGTTCAGCTCTTGGCTGTTCCAGCCCCAGAATGGTGCCTGCTTCAAAGAAGACCCTCCAATGCTTGCTGAATGAACTGCTACATCTTTAGCATGATCCTACTTTTCCTATATTTTAAAAAAAGCACAAGTGAACATTTCATTTCTAAATACTTCTGACACCTGAGAATATCTTCCTATACTTCCCATAGCCATTCTCACACAGGCTAACATCTCCGGAGCCAGAAAACATCATGAGTTTCTTCTAATTGTGAGTGCTACAGTCAGGGCCTGCTGTTGGGAGAAGTCTACAGCAGGTGTGAGAAGCTGGCAGCATACGTGGTTATTCAGTCTCCCGAGGAGGCCAAAGCTGAAGTTGTCTTGCAGGCAAATACAGACTAACTCTTATTAAGTAACTGCATTTCCTTCTGGAACGAATGCAAATCCATAAGAACCTAGAAATCCCTTTGGCAATAACACCATTAGTGACATAACTGTCAAGAGAATTGAAAAATAAAGAGTGGTGTTTAATAAGCATACAGTCAGATAAATTATAGATGGAAACCCACACCTAACAGGTCATTTAGTAGTAAGTCACCCTACTACTAATGCCAGCCAATTCCCCACGGCTTAATTCTAAGTGTCCTTCCTTCCCTTGCTTTAAATGTTCTAACCTGGATTCTCTGCCATTTCCCGGAGGGCAGAGACTTCCACAGCCCGAGAGGTCCTCGCTCGAGATTCCTTATTCCCATTCCTGAAGGAACCCCTTGGAGGGACTTGAACAATTCTTCTGGCTGCCTGGGGGCTTTTCAGACACTTGCAGGGCGCTCTCAGTCCTTGCTGGACCATACCCATCACCAAGGAGGTCTCACCTCCCTGCCCGGGCAAGGAGGCACATTTTGCTTTTTGCAGTTTTAAATTGCTACTGCGCCCAGGCCTGTGTCTTGAAGAACAGCGAAAGCTGATGACTAAAGAAAGCTTTGCTCTTTGCAAATGTGGTCCATTCTGCCTATTCAGGTTTTCTTGAGATATCAGCCCCTCTAGCCACTTACTCATTTTCTTTGTAATTCCCTTGAGAGCTGAATTGCTGTCTTCAGTAAATTCATTTGAACAAATTCATTACCCTGTTCTCTCCTTCTGCCATCATCTATACAAGTTGATTTGCATAAAGTCTTTTTTATTCTCAATTATTCTCTCACTCCTTTTTTAAACCAGCAGCCCAATTTACAAGGTTTTCATTACTTTATTACTAAATTGCTTTACTTCACTTTTCTTATTAAATGCCCATGTTTCGGAGGCAAAGTGTGAACTGTGTTGGCAGCTCTGAGCTCTGTTTAAAGGACAATAAAAGCATGTTTTCACAATGTTTTTAGATGTGAATCGACATACATTATATGGTAATAAACATGCCAGTGTCATGCTCAGCTCCACTGAGAGCAGGCTGATATTCCGCATGCCTGCACCTGCAGGAACATTTTAGAACTTGAGTGGAGAGGACTACAAGGATGTTTTTTAAATAGTAAGCTTGATCTCCAGGGCCACCTGCTATAGAGTCAGCATCCCATATGGCTGACTCCCCGCCATCACACTTCCAGTCCAGCTCCCTGCTAAAGCAGCCGGGAAAGCAGTAGAAGAGTGTTGGGCCCCTTCATCAGCAGGGCAGGCCGAAGTGAAAACTGAGGAGCGAGCGCCATGGCATAGTGGGTTGAACCATCAGGGACTCAGCCTCCCACATACATATATAAATATTTTTAAAAAACAATAAAATGAAAAGAAAAATGAAGTGAAAACTGAGCTCTGCAAAATAGCGGCTGTTCCATTTTGCATAGATCCTGTAGGGTTAAGTAAATTACCTAGTCCAACTAAAAATTTACAGAAATAGACTTTTTTTTTAAGAATATTGATAGATTATATTTTCTTTTTTTTTAAAGATTTATTTTTATTATTTTTTATTGGAAAGGCAGATATACAGAGAGGAGAGACAGAGAGGAAGATCTTCCGTCCAATGATTCACTCCCCAAGTGAGCGCAACAGCCAGAGCTGTGCTGATCCAAAGCCAGGAGCCTCTTCCGGGTCTCCCACGCGGGTGCAGGTTCCCAAAGCCTTGGGCCGTCCTCGACTGCTTTCCCAGGCCACAGGCAGGGAGCTGGAAGGGAAGCGGGGCTGCCGGGGTTAGAACCGGCGCCCATATGGGATCCCGGGCGTGCAAGGCGAGGACTTAACCACTTGCGCCATCGCGCCGGGCCCAGAAATAGACTTTTTAAAATGTCCTAGTCCAATTCTCTACTGATTTAAGATGCATGTAATTCCAGTGTGAGCCATCAAACCCATCAACATGCTTGCCATCATCATCATCAAACACGCTAACACAAGACCAAGCGAACAAAGGTCTCATCTCCTCCCCTTCTGAGCTCTAAGTTTTAATCAGTTCACACCTCGCAGCGCAGTCACCGGACAAGGAAAGAGTCTTGAGACTGTAATCCCTTACAGCTACTCCAACCAGGATGGTTTACAAGACCAACCAAATAGCACAGCTCTGCTCTCCCCAGCTGCTACCAGCCAGAAACTGAAGCCAAAGCAAGTTTTAAGCAGAAGCAACACTGCATAGTTAGTCTTCACCCTGTTTCTCCACAGCCAATTAGACAATTCCAGGACGCTTTAGCAGAGACTTTTTATCACAAAAGACGTCCCTTTAGGAATGCCATACAATGCATCGACCCTCTGACAATTGTTGCGCCATTAGTAATTATTGTGTTTATTTAGTGTATCCCGGTGGTGATGGGGTGGGAAGGGAGATACTAAACAATAGGAGTAATGTTTGCAAATACCACTTCATTAAAAAAGGCAGGGCAGCAAACAAAGCTTCTCGGAATGAATGAAGGTACAGAGCAACCTGGAGGGGTGTCTGCGACACTGTTTGCTGAACACTGAAATTCTGCCTTATGTCAAGTTGGTCTTTGATCCCATCCAGAAGAGCTTTGGGTTTGTATTATACTACTAATACCATACCTGCAAGACATAAACCTTAACACTCGCCCTCCCCCCCCAAAAAGCTTATTACAAAATTATCTGCAGTATATTGGAAGCTTGTTCAGTTTTTCTTCTGAGAATGTGACGTGTGAAGATCAAACAGGTGCATTATCTCCATGTGGGTAGCAGAGGCACAGTAATTATATCAAGCAGTAAATATACACTGCCAGGCCTTTGCGCTAGAAAAGAACACGCTGGAATACGGGGTCGAAATGTTCTCTCCATGCATGTGCTAAGTGCACAGAGCGTCAGTAACCCCCAAAGCCACTTGGTCTGGTTTTCCTCAGGGCACCAGCAGAACATTCTAGTGCTTTATTTTTGTGCTCTCTTTATTTTTGGCTCCTTGCCAAGCAGCTTCTAGCCTGAATTTGATGCCAAGTGAGTCTATTGTGATCTGCATCGACCTTACTGATTGGGAAAACAAAACCAATTTCAAAACAGATCAACTCTAAGTCTCTAAGACAGGAATCTGCTTTTTTTGTTTTTCCTGTACTGTGTGGGGAGAAAAAAAAAAATCCCACATCTATTTCCAACAGCTTCTTCTAGTTGCCATCATAGCAGTGATGTTCAAAGTTTATTAGGCAGAAAACACAGTTTTTCCAATCTTTCTAATGTGTATTGGATTCTCAGCTCCCATATCTTGGCCCTGGGGCATTTTCCTTGATAAAGGCCTCCTACCTTCCAGTCCCACAAAGACCAAAGACTTGGGAGATGAAATTTTTAAAGTAACCACTGAAGAAGAGGCTTCAATTGTATTGGCCCAACTGGCAATCTGAGGAAGGCCACATGAATTGCTAAGAGATAACTCCCTCGCCTTTCACCTTGGTCACCAGTTTGAATCAAGCAGAGATTAACAACGCCCAAGGGTTGTTATCATCTGGTGATGGCTTGGGAGCTGATATGAAATAAATTGCTAGTATCTTGCGTCTACTTGCCTAAGGTCACCCGGATCAGGCTATTTTAGGGACCAGATCCAAATCTTAGCTGCAATGGTTCCTCTAAATGAAAGCCCTTGCACAAAGACCAAATGTTAAATAAACCTGCAGATTATACTCCTCCTTGTTCTAATGGACATATCTCATGAGACAAGGTTGAGAGTAAGCTGGGGGGTCAGGGGAATGGGCGGAAGCTGTGGATCTTAAGTGATAGCTGAGTATTTAATTTCAATGTAACTGTGGCTTCGCTACTGGTGATCCTGTCACTTGGTCATGAATTTCTTGCGGGGAAGGTCTGTCTTCCTTCTGCCTTGGTCAGAGGGCCTCAGCTCTCTTGCTTATTATTTCATTCATCCTTGACAAGCATCAAACTTGAAAAACTTAGGAATTGATGTGTGTGTGGTAAACTTATATATCTAAACACACACATATAAGCACAGCGAGAGAAAAAAAAATCATTTAAATTAAATGTTCCAAAATTTGGGCCTGGTGCAATGGCTCAGCTGGTTAACTATCCCCATTCCAGCACTGGGATCCCATATGGGCACAGGTTCCTGTCTTCCCTGCTTGTGGCCTGGGAAAGCAGTGGAAGATGGCCCAAAGCCTCGGGACCCTGCACCCATATGGGACACCTGGAGGAAGTTTCTGGCTCCTGGCTTCAGATCGGCGTGGCTCCGACTGTTGTGGCCACTTGGGGAGTGAACCAGTGGATGAAAGATCTTTCTATCATCTCTTCCTCTCTGTAAATCTGCCTTTCCAACAGAAATAAGTAAAGGTTTCAAATAAATAAATAAAACTTATTTATGAATTTTATTTATAGTAATACGTGCTCAAGTAACACGTGCTCTGCCTCTGGCCCAGCTCACTGCTAAGTCCCCAGGAATAGCACAGATGACAGCTGGGCACTTTCAATCCTGCACCTGGGTTAGACCAAGATCATGCTCTTGGCTGCTGGCTTCGGCCTGGTTCAGTCTCAGCTGTTACAGGCGTTTGAGCAGTGAGCCAGGCAATGAAAGTTCTTCCCCATCCCCACCTTTCAAATACATAT